AATAGAAAAAGGGAGAAGCAGCGAGCATTCACAAACAAAATAAATCGAAAAATTAATTGAAAAAACATTCAATCCTCAAATCAAAAAAATTTATGACTGAAAAACGAGGCTGAATAAATTTACACGTAAACTGTTGCATGGCAAATTTATTCAGATAAAATTAACCTGAAAGGAAAAATTCGGAGGGAAGAAGAGAATGGAATAAACGTGTAACTAACGAATAAGGAATAAAACTCTTCTAACTACAAGATGTCAAAAATTGAGATCGTAAATCCAAGCCTGAGAAAATATATGGAGCAACCCGTGATAAATGGGAACATACGCAGATGAATAAATATCCTTAAGCGGAAGGCAGGATCATACATATACATCAAGGCGTAGGAGGTCAGGTCCATGATATACATACACATCACGGCAATGGAGGACAAGTTCGGATTATACATATACATTAAGGCAAGGAGGACAAGCCCAATTCATACACACATATACATCAAGGCATAGTAGGTCAGATCCATGTTATACATATACATCAAGGCAATGAACGACAAGCCCAGATTATACATATACATTTAGGCATGAAGGACAATCCCAGATCATACATATACATATTTATGCATGAAGGACGATCCTAAATCATACATATATACATTTATGCATGAAGGACAATCCTAGATCATACATATATACATTTATGCATGAAGGACAATCCCAGATCATACATATATACATTTATGCATGAAACGCAAGCCCAGATCATACATATATACATTTAAGCATGAAGGACTATCCCAAATCATACATATATATATATATATATATATATATATATATATATATATATATATATATATATATATATATATATTTATGCATGAAGGACAATCCCAGATCATACATATATACATTCATGCATGAAAGGCAAGCCCAGATCATACATATATACACACATATACATCAACACAGCAAACGACAAGCCCCCAAAAAGCCTCACATATCTCCAGCAGCAAAGATACGTCTTGCAAGGAGGATGCTGCAGCATGCTAAAGAGCGTGAGCCTCCGTTGCAACGGGAGATGAATATGCAATAAACGTCGCACTTAAGAGTTCCTGCGGTCTGGACTCTTAACTCTCTTAAAGCTACAGATCGTAAACTAAAATTCACACACGATTGGTTTACGAGCCTGAGTAAAATGGTCCTTGTCACTGGGTATGATAGGGGCGATATTCAAGCGCTTCCTGGTCGGCTTGACCCTCCCTATGGGCATGTTTAATACAAACCAATTCTTTCTATATTGTATTTTATGCATGCATATATACATATATATATATATATATATATATATATATATATATATATATATATATATATATATATATATGTATATATATATAATCGACAATCGACTTGAGAATGGTCCAGGACGGACCGAAACGTCGTCGTCCCTTCAATTTCTAGTGTGTGGTCTGGTCAATATATATATATAATTAATATTATTATTATAGAGCAATACAATATGTTCTATAATTATACAACAAATATATTGTATTGCTCTATAATTATTATTATTATTATTATAGAGCAATACAATATATTTGTTACACATGCCGTAGACGGTTCAGATATATGCAGAAACTACAGTTTAGAAAGAATTGGTTTGGAAATTGGAATCGAATTGGAAATTAATTATTTTTATTAATATTCAAATTGGTTTGAATTTAAATAATAATACTAATAATAACATCAATATTTTAATTATCCAATTATTTAAGATGAAAGAAGTCTTTAAATTTCTTTAGACCCTGGATAGAGTTTTGTGTGGAATGTCTTCATAGAGTCTTAATGCTAGGATTATACTCTATTAGTCGTCGTTCTAAGATTACTACTAGATGTCTAGAGTCCAAATAAATGGGCAAAGTTTCTTTCACCCTGATGCACCTGTTCACCTAGCAGTAAATAGGTACCTGGGAGTTAGACAGCCGCTACGGGCTGCTTTCTGGGAGGGGGGGGGGGTGAGTGTTTCTTAGAGAGAAATATTTGTAGAAATAATAGAGGAAAAACAGATTGGTTAGAAAGGCGGGGTCCAAGAGCTAATAGCTCGATTCTGCAGGCACAAATAGTAAATACACACACACTGGATTTACTCATCTCCAACTAGGTGAGTACACACTCACATTTCACTACACACTCACAACATCACACACACACTTCACTACACACTCACAACATCAACACAACACGCTTTAGTACACACTCATAACATCACACAACACACTTCAGTACACACTCACAACATGAACACAACACACTTCAGTACACACTCACAACATGAACACAACACACTTCAGTACACACACACAACACACTTCAGTACACACTCACAACATCACACACACACTTCACTACACACTCACAACATCACACACAACACACTTCACAACACACTCACAACACCCTCACAACACCACACAACACACTTCAATACACACTCACAACATCACACAACACACTCACAACACCACACAACACACTTCAATACACACTCACAACATCACACAACACACTCACAACACACAACACACTTCAATACACACTCACAACATCACACAACACACTCACAATACCACACAACACACTTCAATACACACTCACAACATCACACAGCACACTCACAACACCACACAACACACTTCACTACACACTCACAACATCACACAACACACTTCGCTACACACTCACAACATCACACAACACACTTCGCTACTCACCCATAACTTCAAAACACTCAGCTATAAAGCGCTGAAATTGGCTTTGGGTAGTAAAAACTACCCTGAATATTCATGGCATGTAAATACCGAGGAGCAGAAGTACCATAGTACAGCCTTAATGTCTCAGTGGTGGTGGGGAGTGTGTCAGTGGTGGGGAGTGTGTCAGTGGTGGTGGGGAGTGTGTCAGTGGGTGGTGGGGAGTGTGTCAGTGGTGGTGGGGAGTGTGTCAGTGGTGGTGGGGAGTGTGTCAGTGGTGGGGAGTGTGTCAGTGGTGGGGAGTGTGTCAGTGGTGGTGGGGAGTGTCTCAGTGGTGGTGGGGAGTGTGTCAGAGGTGGGGAGTGTGTCAGTGGTGGTGGGGAGTGTGTCAGTGTTGGGGAGTGTGTCAGTGGTGGGGAGTGTGTCAGTGGTGGGGAGTGTGTCAGTGGTGGGGAGTGTGTCAGTGGGTGGTGGGGAGTGTGTCAGTGGGTGGTGGGGAGAAGAGTCAGGATAGTTGATACTGTTACCTAGTTAATCATACATTAGATAACTGTTCCTTTGACCAAGGTACAGTGAAATAAATGCTATCATCAAGAGGAGTCTCGCCCCTTCCCAGTGTCCAGCAGAGAGAGAACCTCAGTTTTAACAGAGTCAAAACTCCCGACAGTGCTGCATTTTCTTCTGACAGGATCACTGTACATCCTTGGGAGAATGATAGAGAGGTAGTGTGGGTCTTCACAAGTGTAGCAAACCTGACTGATACCTGTATCATCACACACACACACACACACACACACACACACACACACACACACACACACACACACACACACACACACACACACACACACAGTGTTGGCGTGTGCCCTGCTCCAAACCGCTCGTCACATAATTTCCATGCAAATGTTCAATTTATGTTGATTGTCCATTAACCCTCCCTCCGGTCAAAAACGGCAGATTAATCCAGCTGTCGACAAGCCAAGACAAACCTTATTACTCCGTATCAAAGAGCTTGAATTCCTCTTGCGAAACGTTTGAGCGGGTAAGGACGATACGCCACGCACCTTATTTAAATAGGGGGGTGGGGGGTGGGGGTGGGGGGGGGTGGTGGAGAGTGTAGGGCACAGTTTCCCTGTTACACACACACACACACACACACACACACACACACACAGACACACACAAACACACAGAGTGTTGAGTGGACCTCAGCACTCTGGATAAGAGAAAGAACAGGGGTGACATGATAACGACATACAAGATTAAGAAGAACTAACCAAGTACACAAAAGCACAATGCTCAAAATAAAGGAATATGAAAACAAGGGAACATAGATGGTAACTATGGAATCAAATGATTGACAGAAATAATAATAATAATAATAAGAGAGAGAGAGAGAGAGAGAGAGAGAGAGAGAGAGAGAGAGAGAGAGAGAGAGAGAGAGAGAGAGAGAGAGAGAGAGAGAGAGAGAGAGAGAGAGAGAGAGAGAGAGAGAGAGAGAGAGAAGGAGAGAAGATGAGAGAAACAACAGAGCAAAAAACTACGAAATAATCCTCTGAAATAAACGACAAGTTGCGACAAAGAACAGTTAGACCTGTATATAAAAAACAAAGAGAAAAAATATATATTCGCAAGACTAAAATATTCTTTCTCACTCTCACACTTTAGCTGAACAAATTATGAGTTATTTTTTCCCAAGACTGCATTAACTCTACCAGGTAAATTAACTTTCCTGGATTGGTGGGGTAGGGAGGAGGTGGTAGGGGGGAAGGTGGGGGATAGATTGGGATGGGGCTACGTTTCTTTATATTAACTACCCAGGTTCGAGTCTCTTTTTTTTTTTTTGCCACGGATGCCATCCAAACTCTTTATTAAACAGAGATGTTTTTAATAAAAATTCGTAACAATAATATTAAAATCAATAATAATAATAATAATAACAGCATCAGCAAACTAGGTCTATAATGAAGTCCTCACCACTAACTTGGAACTCGTGTTCAAAGTCTTATCTAAAGTTAGAGAGAGATAACGCTGTACATAAACTTGATGACAGGCAAAGTTAAAACCGTCGCGAGTCTCAGTTTCTTTATCTCAGACGAAAATGACACAGAAATCTATGTTGGGGAAAAGGCTAGGTGAATGATCACTGGCCGGTCCAGAAAAGTCGGACAATGCTTCATTCACCCGAACCCCAAGAACACCTCGGGTGAGTGATCCTGCCTGATGGCATGAAGCATTACCGAACTGCTCATCCGACTAATGTTCATGAACCTGGACCTTCCTCTCGCCAGGGAGGTTAAAGAGACCATGGTTCGTGACCCCAAGACCCAAGACCAGAGACCCAAGATACCCCAAGACCCAAGACCAGAGACCCAAGAGACCCCAAGACCAGAGACCCAAGAGACCCCAAGACCCAAGACCAGAGATCCAAGATACCCCAAGACCCAAGGCCCAAGAGACCCCAAGACCAGAGACCCCAAGACCCAAGACCAGAGACCCAAGAGACCCCAAGACCAGAGACCCAAGAGACCCCAAGACCCAAGACCAAAGACCCAAGACCAGAGACCCAAGAGACCCCAAGACCAGAGACCCAAGAGACCCCAAGACCCAAGACCAGAGACCCAACAGACCTCAAGACCCAAGACCAGAGACCCAAGAGACCCCAAGACCCAAGACCAGAGACCCAAGAGACCCCAAGACATCCAGACTCTCCAATACACAAATGATGAGGCTGATCTTTGTGCAGTTAACAAACCTCACACACCACATACCCCTCATTTAGCTTCTCCTCAAGTCTCTCCCTCAGGAATAAACAGTCAAACAGTTACATATGTGACACAATATATACAAACATATGTGACAACCGGAGCCACGTTTCCTACACACGAACAATGCCGTTTCGACAATCTTATCACACGAAATATATACATCTATGAAAGGCCTTTTGGCAACTGATTGACGACCAAAACACACTAAAATTTCAATAATTCAAAAAAATTACAATCGAATAGCAATAACATTCAATAAAGGCATAGAATTCCAGTACTGCTACAGATACGTGAAAAGACAAAGTACAGTACCAAGGGTGCAAACTAGAATTTTAACTTCAACAAATGACGTGATAACAAGAAAATCTAAACATTCTTTTAAACGTGGCAGACATTGGCAGCTATACATCAATGTGGGGCTCTCATCCTAGAACAGAAAACAGCGCCCGCAATCAGCTGAACAAAAAGTGAAATAATTTCGCGACAATGACCTGAGAATCATGATTGGTATGAATATAAAACCAAGAAGATAATGAATGCCTGTTCGAAATACAACCAGCAGGGTATTAGAGTTGATATACAGAAGCGTTAGCAATATTCTCTAATTGATTACACTTAGATTAGATTAGATTACACAGATTAGATTAGATTAGATTAGATTAGCTTAGGTTACACAGCACAGTGTTGAACACCCTACTATATAATGGAAATACATTATCCCGAAGATAACACAGAAGCATTATTAACTTGATCCCTAACATCAGAAACCTCTAATGAAAACAGTAACTCAATTTACATTCACAAGAAAAAATCAAAGTAAGATACGACAGGATTGAAATGTACAAAAGAATTAAAAGGGCCTAAGAATGGGGGAATATAAACAGAATTATACAAATATCACCCAAATCACAACACTGAAACAATGGATTCAAACTGGAAGTTAAAGAACAAATCCACAAGGGCCGTGATGAGGATTCGAACCTGCGTCCGAGAGCATTCCAGACGCTGTGTAATGGCAGTTATAGGCTTAAACACCCAAGAAAGCACAGGGACATCTGGGAAACAAGTTACTATCATTATATTACAGACGAAACACACACACACACACACACACACACACACACACACACAAACACACACATATATATATATATATACACACACACACGTGTATGTGTTAAATTCTTTTACAATGTAATCATTAAGGCAAGTGTATAGTGTATACACAGACGAGGTTGTGTATCGGTATTTACCCGCATGCAACGTTAAAAAACAAAAACAGAACTCAAATTGATATGGACCCTTGTGCAACTGCTGCAATAAAACTGCAACAATGTTTCTGTGTACAGAGCGGCAGTCTATGCAACACAGCGCGTCATAACTCCCAACTGCTGGCGCTTAAAAGTTAAGCTTTGCATCCCAGATAAAGCATGGAAGCTTGTCAACAATACTTCCCCCCCCCCCCATGTCTTAAAGCAATGAAGCAAATACGGAAATGTTCATTAGTATGATAGATAGCACACATGTTATCTACATGTGTATGATAACACATGTTTTCTACATATGTGTTATTCACTATGTTTTTGTGTGTTAACACACACACATACATGGTCCCCACCCTGGAAACACAAACCGACACGTGCGAACAAGCCTGAATGGTCCCCAGGACTATATGCAGTCTGGGGGTGTGAGTTTACAGATACACACATAATTAAATAATAATCCACAAAATCAAAGAAAAAAATAATTCGAGTGTTTTCTTATGGTACACAATGGAGGAGGCAAGCTTGGTTGAGGCATGGAGGAGGTGTGACCCACGCGGCAGCATCCTCACCAGCATCCGGAGATATATAGCTGACTCCATCTTAACTATCTCCGTGTCCCAGCATCCCGCTAGTGTTTGTGGTGGGAGACGTTATCTGGAGATGCTCTGGCTTACACCCGCTCCACCACCCACCCCAACCCAAACCCTTAGCAAATGGGTTGTTGCTATAAGGGTTTGCAACCCCTTCAAGCAACCCATTCCCATGCAAATCATCCACAAGCAACCTATAAGTTAGTGTCTGAGATTATCTTAGTACTTTACGCGCCTCTCTAACTCATTCACCCACGTATTGCAAATATTGGTGGATTAGAGTTAACTGGTGGAATATAATTCTACTTCCTCAAAGAAATGGCGCTACGTGATTCATCAGTGAAATGATTAGTTTAAGCATTGAGGTGATTTGAACCCCCAATCTCTCCTCATTGTTCCAATTGATTGTTTCACTGATGAATCATGTTAGTGTGAGTTCTTTGTGTATTTGAAGGGAGCGAATGGTTGATGCCAACACCACAGTGCTTGTGGGTTATGTGACAAACTTGTCCTGGCTTCAGTAGAAGCTTCTAGACGTCTTGTGGCTTCAGTAGAATACCAGGTTGTATAGCCTTCAGCATGTTGTGGTACAGGGGGTTAAGGTGCACGGCTGGGGGGTACAGAGATCACTAGTTCGAGTCCCATAATTGCTTCAGTTGATATCATCATAATTCAACTTGTTACCTACAATAGAATCGCTGTACCTAATTATAAATTACAATCTTACAGATGGCTAGTCAATTAAGTTTTAATATAATAGTATAAAACTACGAATATTCTTCAAAAAACCATTGAAAATTTGAGATGAAATTCTAATTATATGCGGAAAATACAAGCCCAAATTCTACAAGTCCTCGACGATCCGGATAAATGAAAACTCGGCCATAACCGATGGATCCGGATAGAATCCGACCACAATCCGTTATCAAAAACAAAACACCAGCTGCGTCCACTCTCGCACCGAATACTGAAAATTAAGTAAAAGTTTAAACCTTGCGTCAAAAGTGGACCCGAAAAGCCTCGGCCATATTTCAATTGAAACGAACACGAGGCCGCCAAACACAATGAATAAAGCGCATATGGAAATCCTGGTTGAATAGGGGGGGGCGGGGCGGGGGAGGGGGGTGTGTGTAAGTACACTGCTGCTTTTATGAATTAATCTGTGGCACACGTGCAGTAGTGGTTCTAGTCCCTCTCTCCCCCCTCTTCCCCCGTCCTCCCCTCTCCACACACTATATAATATAGTGCAATGCTATGCAATGATTTACATGGCTATGCATTAGTATGTGATGCAAAAGTTTATTTCAATGTTCTACAGTGATATACAGGTCTATGCAACGCTATTCTAATGGTTTATACATCTTAAGAATCTTCTAAGTGGTGATTGGACTAACTAATCCACTAGAGGTTGATTGGCCTTAAGAATCCTCAATTTGATGATTGGCTTTAAGAATCCTCTAAGTTTAGAGGATTAGATGAGGGGTGCTTCGGTGCGTATTCTTACACTGGTAAAAGAATATGAGGGTAATCATCGTGACGCAGAATCTGACGCAGAGTCAAGTGCGTCTAGCACAGCACCAAATAAGGGACCATTCCTAAGGCCAAACCCCTGCAAATAAGTTTTGCAGGAGGGGGGAGGGGGGGGGGGGGGGGTTCTGGTAGAAAACACAGCTTGAGAGATGGTGCAAAAGCTCTTTCTGTGACAGCTTTAACACGTGGTGTGTGACAGAGACGTTTGAAAACACCTACGTAGGCAAAAGCTTGAGACTAACTCTCCCTCATTGCCCAGCAAGACGCTCCTAGCCGATTGTGGGTCCTAGGAGATAATCCCGCTCCAAGCCGTGTACGCTAGGCATACTCCCAGGAATATACATGATGGTTAAGCGATTTATACATGGAGAAGGAACCACGTATGCTGTGTGAAGCTGTGATAAGTATATTCAGTAATACTAAGATAAGTATATTCAGTAATACTGAGATAAATATACTCAATCATACAGATATTAAGTATACTCAGTCATACATAGAAAAGTATACTCATACAGACATCTTCGACTGAAGGAGTGTTTAAGTGAAATAAAATGAATATATAGAAACAAAATTAAAGAAAATTAAATTCACCAAAATACAGAATTAATAACAAAATAGAATTGAAGAATCGTAATAAATAATATATAATGAAAAATACTAATAATAATACAAGAAAATGTAAATTAATAACAACAATGAAATACAAAGAAAAAAGGCAACAAAAATTAGAAATAAATGAGTATATAAAAGGAAGTAATTAAGATACAACAGAAATATTTACTCACAAACCTCCCCTTTTTAGAGCTCAGGTTTAAATTCACTGGCTTAATATGAAATATTTTGTTGCAGCGTGTTGCAAACTATAATTTATGCAGTCAGCCATGTGTTTACTGTGCAAGATATTTGATATTTGCTATTGATACCGACGACATGCTGAAAATACTAAATGGGGAAAGAGAGTGTTCCATGTTGGAGAATGTGAAGTTCACTTGTGATGTTATGTGATGTTTAGATGACTAAACCCCACACCATGTTATGTGGTGTGGGGTTTAGTCTCTTACTGGAGACTAAAACACCCTCCCAGGGAAAGCTTATAGGAACTTCAGTAGGGTTCCAAAGATGAAACAATTCTCCTCTGTGTCCCAGCAAAAGCCGACACAGTCTAAGGCCAGATGAGTCCGTTGAGGCAAGGCCTTTCACTATCAACATCTCAATTGCAAGTCTCTCAAAGTCCTGAATGCTGCTCTTCCAATGAAGACGAACCTTTGGCTGTAAATGTTGGGCGGTTTTGAGTGCCACCCCCTGGAATTTGAGTGCCACCCCTTGGCATTTGAGTGCCACCCCTCTGGCATTTGAGTGCCACCCCTGTCATTTGAGTGCCACCCCTGGCATTTGAGTGCCACCCCTGGCATTTGAGTGCCACTCCCTGGCATTTGAGTGCCACCCCCTGGCATTTGAGTGCCACCCCTGGCATTTGAGTGCCACCCCTGGCATTTGAGTGCCACCCCTGGCATTTAACTCTCTGTTAAAGTACGTAATGCCTACAGAGATTGGTGCCACAGGCATCACGGGACCGAACAAGACATGGAAGG